AATCATCTGGTGCAGGAATCTGTCTCTTTCTTTTTCTTTTTCTTTTTTAATTAATGGAAATCACAACACACCATTAACCAAAGTTGTTATATTTATTATTGCGCTCTTCTAAATATTAGTTTGTTTGACTGGTCACGTGAGTTAAATGGGTTTAATCCCAAACTCAGAAACAAGTAGCTCCATAAATAATAAATAACTTGGAGCAAATGTGTTCTTGGTGGAAACTTCAGGAACAAAAAGACTCCAATAAATAACCAAAACATTATCATTCCTTTAAATATTGTGCCTGATATTTGAACAAATTGGATTGTTTTCATTTAAAAATTTGTGCACTTTGTGCACAACTTTAGGTCTAGTCGACGGAAATGTTTTGGGGTGTGTGTGTGTGTGTGTGTGTGTGTGTGTGTGTCCTGTTCAATGCAGCTTTTCTCTAACAGTTAGTCATTTTGAATTTCATTCATTTTTGGAGTGCGTGGATTACTTTTTGTATTTCCAATTAAGCCGTGAGTTGCAGAAACAACACTGCCTTTCCATCTCTCTACCTCTCTGTGTGTCTTTTCCTGCTCTAACACTCATCTGGCTTGAACCGAACAAACACAAGGACCTTGTGTTGCACTGCAGCATCTTACACCCTCGAGTGTGTCTGGTGATATCCTTGCACAACATACACCAGGTCGGAAATTTAAATTAAAAATGACTAACATGGTCCAGAGTGTACAGATGAGGAATACTAAAGCACCGCTGCATCACTCTGTTTAGATACAGATGAAGTGAGGGCTGAATCACGCTGCCCCACTATCAGCAGGTAGCCGAATGGCATCGTGGGTAATGTAGGAAACCAGATAGACTATGATGAAATAAGTTCATCTTAAAATCAGGTATTGTTATAAATATTGATATGCAAGGTGCTTTTTTTTTTTTTTTTTTTTTTTTTTTTTTTTTTTTTTTTTTTTTTTTTTTTTTTTTTTTTTTTTTTTTTTTTTTTTTTTTTTTTTTTTTTTTTTTTAAATACCTAAATGGTCCTGGAGAAGTTTTGTATCGCTCATTTTCTCTGCAGGTCCAGATACAGAAGAATCTGATGCAGATTTACAACGGAAAAAAAATTCTCTAAAGAGAATTATAATACTTTCTCTGAGTCCTCCATTCGGCTGAAATGCTGGAGCTGAAGTTAGTGGAGCTTTTTACTGTGTACACACGTGCGCGCGCACACACACACACACACACACACACACACACACACACACACGCATGCACACACACTAAATTACAGTCACACTGAGCAAACTTGCACTCCACTCAGCTGATACACATTAGTACTTGTGGCTGTGGAATGTTCCAGATTCCTCCAGAGTTGCGTGTTTTTGTTTTTTTTTTTCTCCTCATCTTCGTAATAGCGAGGTCATCAGTGGCGTGTCTTCATACAGATTGATGATGAGTGTGTTATCTCTCTTCAGTCTCAGCGTAGTCTTGCATTTCACTGGAGTCAGCATCTGCCTTTTTTTTTTCTTTTCTCTCTCTCCATGTTCCCTTCACCTTCTGTGATGCTGGGAGTCTTGAACTGAGAGATCAAACAAGCTCATTAGAATATTAGTATTTTAGGCCACGCCCACACAACAGTTCTACTTGTCTGTCTGTGTCTGGCTGACTTGTCTTTGTTGGTCTCTCTGTCTGTATCTCTGTCTGTCTCCATCTGCCTGTCTGTGTCTGTATCTCTGACTCTCTCACTCTCTCTTTCTCTCCCACTGTCTGTCTGTCTCCATCTGTCCGTCTATGTCTGTATCTCTGACTCTGTCTGTCTCTCTGTGTGTCTCAATATAACATATATCTGGATTAACAGACATTAGTAAATAGTGAAGAGGAAATAAGGATTAAAGTGTTCTTCATCAGAGTGACAGACAGAGAACTTGTCTAAAAATATTTAACAGGAGGTTTGCACTTTCTCAGGGTCTTTTTGGTTCCGACAGTGTTTAACTGTAGTCCCAGTTTCCTAGCAGCGTGTGTGTGTGTGTGTGTGTGTGTGTGAGTTAGCAGGCTCCTAAATGTCAGCACACACACATGCAGTGCTTAATGAAAACTCCGGTGATGAAACCGTTTTTAATGACTTGGATAAACAGCGCTCTCATCCTTCGTTGTCTGGAGGTCAGGCGTGACTTTTTCTGAAAAAAACAAACAAAAAAAAAACGCTCGAGTCAGATAATAACTCGAGTAAAGTGATGTCATCGTTTCCCCTCATTTTAGAAACCTCACTGTGATCAAATGCTAATGTAACACACATCCCATGACGTTTTAAGCTCATTAAAGACAAAGCTCATTCCTACAATCGCTCAACAAGAACATGTGCACTGCATGTGAACAAGCATTTATGAAACTCAACCAAATACAGTTAGCTCCAGAATTATTGGCACCCTTGGTAGAGATGGGTTAAAAAGAAATTACAACAAATGTTTTTGTGGATAATTGAGCAATTCTAATAATAAAATGAGAGAAATGTATCCAACATTTAATTGAAGTAAATTCATAAACATAAATGATCATATTAATCAAGTAAGGAATAAACTACTGTGTCATGCTGTTCTAGGAAAATAATCAACGACAGGCTGGTGTGATGAAGCAGAGTCACTGTTACCACCCCAAAGATGTTTAGTTTCCTATAACAGCATGTCCCGAAGTGTTTTATTCCTCTTATACCCCAGCAACATTCCAATAATTACAATTTTTATTTATTTTTATCCATTTGTAGTTAAATTTTTTTGTGTAAAAAAAAAAATATATATATATATATATATTATATAATCCATGAAAAAGTTAGTTCCTTATAGCAGACTGGCTTCCATCCATCCATCCATAATTTCTTCATTCCTTTCTATTTCTTCCATCCATTAGTTCTTCATTCCCTTTTCTTCCATCCGCCCATCCCATAATTTCTTCATTCCCTTCATTTCTCTTCTTTGATGGGATCCATCCATCCACCCATCCATTCCATCATTTCTTTATTCCCATATATTGCTGTAGCTGAGTAATGTAGTGTGTGCACTTACTGTGAACGTAGCACAAGTCTTAATGTCCAAAAGAGACATGTGGTCATATGGACTAATGTAACATGGAATTTTTATGTTTTCGAATAATTTAATTGAATAATCCGTTTAGTCCTTGCTCAACCTGCAAACTAAGAATTCAAAACAAACACCCCAAGAAAAAACTTTGATGAGGTCACACACATGACAGAGCCAGTAAAAAGCGAAAGCCACACACAGTCTTCTCTGTACACACCCTGGATCACGCTGACAGACGCTTGTTTTACTGGACCGTTTAAAGCCAGCTTGGAGCGTTCCGCTTGTCATTCGTCATGTTGTTTTTAAAAGCCAACGCATGCGATTCATGTCCAGAAACCCAATCCAAGGCACCTGTAGACGAGGTAATGGAAAACGTAGGACTTATTTAGCATACAACATCACTTCGCAGAGTGTGTTTCTCATTTCTGAAAGGACACAATACCACACATTCATGAACGTGATTGTAATTATGCAGGGAAGGTTCTGTGGCTATGTGAATATAACTGAAGATTTAACCCAAGTGTCACATTGGATGCAAATTGATTCATGGGTTTGGGTTTCTTTTAATAATGTATGCTTTTGTAATAATTTTTACTGATATAGGACAGTGAGACCACAGTTGTTACCATGATTCCCCTTGAGATCTGCAACACTGGGCCCAAGTAGAATGTTGCTTAGGGCTACAATTAGTTCACTGATGACTATGTCAGCTGTGGCTGTAGTAAATGGTTCCATAGAAAGTGTTGGTCAGGGTAAGAATACTTACAAATTAAACCCACTGGGGAAGGGGGAAATATTTTGTAGTCATACCAATTTAAAGTGTTCCAATTTTCATGTGTTTTCTCTTTTTGTTGTCTTAAAGTTTAGAGGTTAAAACGTGAGAATATTTGTGGGATGTGTAACTGTATAAGTCATTTAGAGAAAAAAATGTATCCTTAATGAGAATTTCTCTGATTGGGTGAGAGTGTGGTTCAAAATGGACATAATGATGGTCCCAAATGGGTAACATATTGGTAGGAAATGGGTCAGATGTGGTTCAGAATAGGTGAGATGGGTCTATCTGGGTAACATATTGGATCGGAATGGTTGAGGAGATGGTTCCAAATGGAGATGATTGTCCTAAATGGGTAACGTTGGTTTGCAATGGGAAAGAGGGTGGTTAGAAATGATTCAGATGGTGGTTTGGAAAGGGTACTATGTTGACTTGGACTTGGTCGGATGATTCTAAATGGGTACTATGTTGGTTCTAATTAGGTAACGTCGTTCTAAATGGGTAGCATATTGGTTTGGAGTGGGAAAGATGGTGGTTCGGAATGGGCGAGATGGTTCTAACTGTGTAACACTGGTTCGGAAAAGGTAAGAATATGGTTCTAAATGGCAAAGATTGTCCTAAATTGATAACATTTTGCTTCAGGATAGGAAAGATGGTGGTTTGGAATGCTTCTAAACCATGGGTGTAAATGGGTAAATGGTTCTAAATAGGTAATCTATTGGTTTGGAATGGGTGAGATGGTGGTTTGGAATGGGTGCCATGTTGGTTTGGACTAGATCGAATGGGTCAGGTGGTTCTAAATGAGTAACAGTGGTTCAGAATAGATCAGAAGGAAGTTCTAAATGTTTGTCTAATGATTACTGAGACAGTGCTGGTCCTGAATCGGATGGTTCTGAATGAATGTGAAGGTCTTTTTGAATAGGTGAGTTGGTTTAAAAAAAAAAAAAAAAAAAAAAAGGAGTAGTATAAAGCCTTTGTCATATATACATTATAGTTCAGCAAAACTCCTCTCTTTGCGTATCCCAGCTTGTTAGGAAGTTTGGGTCAGAGGGTTGGGTCAGCCATGAGGCCTTGCACAAGGGTGCAACAGTGGCAGCTTGGTGGTGTTTGGGCTTGAACCCCTGACCTTCTGATTGGTAACCCTTAACCAATGGGCCACCACTGACCTAGAGGGTAGAGTTAGCTAGGAGCCGAACCTGGAATCTTCCGATTCCTAATCAGATGCGTTATCCATTGCGCCACTGGCCCACCAGTTCCGAATAGACATGCTATGTGTGCAGTGGAGAATCTGATCAGCTCTGTCCATGTTGAAGCTATGAATATTTAAAATAATGATCCTAAAGGGTAAGAGTGTGGTCTTCAGTGTCCTGGTTAAAAAAAATGATTCAGTGAGTATGGTTCTGATTGTTCTGGTTCAACTCTTGATGGTGGTTTTGAATGTCTCTCTCCTGCTTTAGGTCCTGAATGGAGAACAAGGCCATGTACCTGAGCACATATGAGGAGCGAGACAATGGCTCGTTTTATGAGGAGGGCTACGATGGACGGAACCTGTCCAAACTCAACCTCTGTGAAGAAGGTAAGCTCAAATAATAGAGAGAGGGGGAGAAAATCAGGCTTTTAGTCTCCTGGGATTTGCCATCAAAAGTGCTGTAACAAGGGTGGATGAAAGCTGCCTGTGGCTTGTTTAAACCATTATATCCTGGACATAAGAATAAAAACTGATATTTTAGTGTTTATTTAATATTTTGGTGCCGTGTGTGGAACACTTGGCTGCCTAGCCTCTTTGGGAAAACAACTCTGCACTTTAGTCTCACCATTCTTACAGATATGTCCTAATAATTTAGTCTAACAGTGGTCATATGACGCCTGATCCCAGAGCGGAGAGAATCAGCGAGCATGCTGGGTAATAAAACAACCTTGAGCGTGGAGTGTTGACAGCAGAACAGCTGGGTGTGTCATGGGGAGCTGTGTGAGCTGCCCGCACGCAACCGTTTTTTTCCTCCGTGAGCTTCAGTGGGAACCAGCGAGTGTTTTGACATCTGTGAGTGAGGATTTGCTGGTTTAGAAACAGGGAATGAGGAACAAACTGCAGATCAGCTGTAGGAGGAGAAACTGAGTCAAGCTGTGAACACAAACATGCTTAATATATACAAGTGAGAGAATTAATAGGCTACATACCTGTTTTCAATTATGCTCATTATTATGTTAAGGACAAGTGAAGGTAGATACAATCAGAATAATTAAAATAGTGAAATAGAAACAGAATTTCTATACTACACTTATTTAAATAGTAACTATGGATAATATAACCAATCATCATTCTCAGTGTCCTTGGATTTGCGCACTTACCGACTTGCTTCCCTGTCCTCACACACTGCTGTTATTTCTGCTCAAAAAACATTTACAACATTTAGGAATGCCAGCTTGCTTCACTTAGTTCCTAAATGGCCTGCAGAGCATAAAGGTGGTGGAAATGTTTTGTTGATTCTTACGAGTCGAAGCCGTGCAGATATCTGAACGGGACACCTAATAAACCGATGAGAAGGCGCGACTGTAGATAAGTCTGTAGATGAGTCATGCTTTTGGAAGTCATTTCCAGGAGGTGGTTATTTAAGTCTTAAGTGTGTTTATGTACGTAACCTTCTGAAGCCAGGCTCTGTAATGTGAAACTCTGACATCATCCACAGGTCACATAAACGCTGACATGATGCCAATGTTGACATTTTAGGCACATTCATGGGAGTAAACGGCAAATCCTGCGTTTCCAGAAAATTATGTATAATCAGAAAATTAAAGCAGATATGCTGTTGTGTTTTTTTTTCCTGTGTCTATATAAATCTATATCTATATAAATGTCTGTCATACTTTTTGTTACTGATCTGGATTCTCTCTGAAAAGTTTCATTACCAGACATTTTGCAAGTCGAGTTCTAACATCACATCTGTTCATCTAACGTTCTCACTCGCTCAGTGTCTTGTTGTCTTGATGATGTACTGTATTATGTCATGAAATACCTTTCTTGTTGTCTAGAGAAATGTTTAATCGTATTTCTGTGGCACGGCCCTCGCTTCCTCGTTCATCTCTTTTCTGTTCTCTTCTTGTGCAGCGAGTTCTGGAAAGCGGCGGAGGAAAACGGACAGCTGCTGCGGCCACTTGGACTCTCTGTCCGCCATCAAATACGCCATCGTTTCCCTCTACATCCTGGTCTTGCTGAGTATCTTCGGCCTCTGCATCGCAGGTACACATGTCTCACTTCTCGCATGTCTCGCGTTCGTACAGTATGTTACATGGCTAACACAAAATATCAGACAATTTCAAAATCATATTTACCCACATATCCAACATACGCTTGATACCGAACTATCTACACACTAGCAAGTTCGGTCCGAGAGGTCTAAGATGAATTTAGCCAGACATTAATTAGGAACAGAACCCTTGGTGTTGTGCCGTTCCAGGAAAAGTATCAACAACAGGGTGATGTGATGAAGCGGGGTTCTTGTTCCCTCCCCGAAGTTTATTTTCCTGTAACAGCACATCCTGAAGCGTTTCTGTATTGTGTTGTTTATTATCAAATGACCCATTGTACTTTTTTGTCTGTTTATAGTTGTGGAACATCCATGAAACGAGTTCGTTCCTGTTATCACTTACGTTATAGCAGCTGTAAACAACCGACTGGTGTCATTCCCTCACCCCGCCTCTCCTAGTCTCTCTCTTTAAGTAAATAAGACAAAAATAAAACGCAGCTTGTCATGTTACTGAGAAACCACAAAAAAAAAAACTCATCGGAAAACTTAAAGCGCTGCCCGAGGTCTTGTTTTCGTAAACGTGTTAAATAAACAACATCTTTCAGAAAGATGCATCAGACCAACACGTCTTAAATAACAATCAAGCAGAAAATCTGTCTCAATTCTGGCTTTCAAACGTCTGTATTTTGTTGTTCTGAGTATTAAACTCTGCCAGTGCTTGGCTCGTTTTTGGTTTTGGCAGCAGATGATGGAAAAGAGCGAGTGATTACTGGAGTGTCTTTAAACTAAACTTACAAACTTAAAACTCTTTTCCCACAGGATGCAATGCAGTCTTTACCAGTATACTGCGATATATTACCTGGGGCTTGAGCTGTGATCTTGGGGTATTGTGATAAAGAGTCACAGTGAGCTTTTCTCAGATATCATCTATTTCTTTTCATTTTTTTTTTTTTCCATAATAATTACAAACTGACCGCTTTGTTAAATCATGATGCATATCTCATATTGTAGAAATGCTTTTGCGAACCGTGATATTTTTGTCATATGGCCCATCCGTGTCTGGGGTTATTTTTTTTACAGCTCATTTTATAGAAGGTAAAATGTGGTGTAATCTTTCCAGACATGTGCATGAGCAGTCCGTAAAAAAATTTTACTGACATGACCGATTCAGATAGGGATTAACTCTTAGAGGTACACACACACACACACACACACACACACACGGATGATAATTACATTACCCCACCTCACTGTGTAAAACTAATCCCAACCAAACGGGGCTATAGACTGCAGTACTACATATCTGAGTAAAATGCTAAGAACTGCACCTCCCTTCGCTCTCTCTCTCTCTCTCTCTCTCTCTCTCTCTCTCTCTCTCTCTCTCCATCTGGCTTCATTTCTCGCTGAATCTTTTTGTCTCTTAATCTCAGTGCAGTGATCTGACCAGACACATCCTAAGCCATAGTTTGTAATGAATTTTTAGACCATATTCTGTTCTGTTTTGTTTTTGTTTTTTTTTGGGTTGTTTGGGACAGCGTTCTGCCCTGCACCTATAAAACCTCGACTCTTGTAGCTGAAATGTTTCATTTCGATGCACTGATGTTTCAGTTTGTTGGACATGCGGAACTAATCGCGAGCATGCAAAGCGAAACGGCTCCAGGAAAATCGTTGCTTTTCCGAAACGATGGCGCTGTCTTGTGGAATTAGCTTCACAGTAATGCACACCTGACCTCCAAGCCATTTGTTTCTTACATTTAATGCCATGAGACAGAGCTATGTAGAGGTTAGAGTACTGTATGACTTGAGTATGATCACACACACACACTGCTGATGTTAAAGAAAAATGGACGCATCACAGCTCGGATTAACACGTCTCTCTCCTGCGATGTGTTGAAACTTTCAAATTGTGAACAGAAACTCAGAGGTTTAACATTTTGAGCATTTTGACACTTTTCAGAGATGCTTCTGGAGAAATATTCACTATTCAGCATCTCAGCTCAGTGGTCCTGTGTTCAGGTGTGTTGAAGCGTACCACACGAAATAAATAATTTTACACAAGCAGAATTTAAGAGCTTATTATTTTAAGAAAGAAATCCATTTCAAGTGAAGACTTGTGATTTTTAATCCAATCAGGAATCAGTTTAAAAAACACTATTAAGCTGTATGCCATGTAGGATACACTCAGCAGGCAATAAGGCTACATAATATTACAACTATTAAACAGCACAAGAGTGATATTCATCCAAAAAAACATGCCATATTAATTTGTACATTTGGAATTTATAGGAAAATAATCAGTGACAGATTGCTGTGCGTCTACTATTTGCCGAGTCTGAATCGGAGCGAAATCGACGCTGTTGGTTCGTTTGCAGTTCGGTTTACATTAGTTTCAAACTGCGCATAATTAAATAAACCAGAAAGAGAGAAAAAAAAAGTCTGAGTAGCGCATAGAGCTGAAAATGTCCTCGTAAAATTTCTGACATAACATTTATCTGAAATACAGTGACACAGAGCTTGGAGTGCTAAAATAAATGATTGGATCATTGTATAAAAAAAAAAGGTTTAAGTGTTTTGTGTATTGCATTCAGCATTTTTCTCTTTTTGTTTATCCAAGAACGCATGGTGTTTCTGCAGTGCTACAGCTCTGTGCTTTGGCTCAGTTTTGCGGATTGCGTCTAAAAAAAAAAAAAACGCCCACAGTTTGTTTGATTCACTTCCTGCAGTCGAGTCGATTCCGAGTCGAAGCACTTTCGAATCACACAGTCGAAGCACTTTCGAATCACACAGTCGAAGCGAAGGGAGACTCTCTTTTTTTTCTCTCTCTCTCTCTCTCTCACCTAAAATACCACACCGAAGAGAACACACACACACACACACACACCAGGATTCATTCAAACAAACTAAACACTGCACAGGTAAAAGCACTTTTAGGAGCCCAGTGATGAAAATCTACATTCGTCCCTGACTCTGTCCCACACATGTTCATGAGCACTCTGTGGTTTG